TTTCATGAAAGTAAGCATAGCACGGCGCCAATGTATACCTTACTCGCATGACTAGACGTTATGTAGTAGTTTGATTTTAATAACTATTAGTTTAAATTTACTTGGTTGTTGTAAACATTTATGATTAACTCTAAATTATCATTATGTAAAATTAAATACTGTAACAATAAATTTTGACCATCCTCTCCCTCTCGATTAATGGTGTTTTATATATATATATATATATATATATATATATATATATATATATATATATATATATATATATATATATATATATATATATATATATATATAGTATTTATGTTTTCTTATTGTAAAATAAATTGTTCAAAGTATTATATTATTGGGGTTAAGAAAAAAAAAAAAATGTTTTCTTTACTTTTTTATTTTTCTGACCTCAGGCAGAAGTAATCTTTTCTTTTTATAGGTTTTTTTTGTTCTAAAGAAATTTAGTTCCACAAGGAAGTTATCTTCTATCTTTCTGATTTAAAAAACATTCTAAATAGTTATAGACATATGACAGTATTATTTTTTTTTTTAATAATATTTTATTTCTATTAAACAAGAATAATACCGTCACAATATATTCAAATATTACATCACAAAGCATTTCATCACATGCCAAAGTATTTTTTTTATCCGAAATATTATAGAAGTAATACAAAAATGGCATAAAAAATAATTAATATATGGTAGCAAATTGTTATGTTAAATTAATTAATTCGCCATTTAGCGAAGAATCGAAATGTGAAAAAAATGAGATTCAATTATGAAATGAATGAGGTTCAAACGGACGGAATAATCTGTCATTCATAAAATGATAAATTTTAAGCAAGAACTAAAATAAGTTTTTTCCGTTTATAGCTGGCTTTGGAACTTTAATCACAGATCATCAAAAGCTTGCAAAAACTTTCCTAATTAGGAACATTAATAAAGTTCGTCGACTACTTAAAAAAAAAAAACTTCATTAAAGGTTGGGGTCATTAGGTGGTATCAAAGACTAGCAATGTGTATGCCTTCAAGCTTGTCTCTTTTGAGTTTGATCAATCCATAATTATTTCCAATGTTATTATTTTTTGATAAATCAGTTAATAGGAAACTGATTTTAAGCATTCAATTAAAATATAATATCATTTAAAAATATTATCTTTGTCTATGCTATATTTATTTCTTCATACTTTAAACAAATACTAATGTTCCTCAAGGTACCGTCTTGGGTCACATCCTTTATATATTATACCGCTGATATCCCTGTAATTTCTGACATCTTCTTGTCAACATTTTCTTATGACACCGCCCTCATGTCATTCAACTCATATCCTAAAAAAAGTTCAATCAACAAAATCCTTCTATCTACAAAAACATCTCTCTCTAATTAAACATTCATATAATAATTAGCGTATTAAAGTAAACATACTAAAATGCAAGCATATTGCTTTCACACTCCGACGCAGATCCTGTAGACCGATTTATTTTAATACTATATTTCTTCCCTTCTCAGATATAGTCCGGTATTTTGACTTTCTTTTCGACAAAATAAAAACGTGGGATCCACGGAACTTGACTCAAAAAACAAGAACGTAACCAATGAAACGGCCAACTATACAAATTACTGACTAGGAACTCCAACTTTCAATAGACAACAAATTACTGATCTACAAGACAAAAATACTTAGAGGTACGGACAATATCCACCATTTCTGGCATGAAGGGGGGAGGGGTTGTCTTAGGTGCAACCGAACCTATTCTAACCAGAGTGGGAAGGTCGAGTTCTATTCCGTGGATCCGCCACGAAATAAAATGCAATGAAATGAAAATGTCTTAATATCATTTTAGTAAAATTTACAATGAAAAATAGCAGTATAATAACTAATTAATACAATCCATAGTCATTTATAGGTTAAATATTCAGATATACTTTTAAATCTCTCTAGACATATATGAGCCTTTCGGTAGACAAAACGACTAATTCCAAATTCTGCATTCTTTACTATTAATTTTAGTAATGTTTATACCTTTATTCACAGTTATATATTTCAGCACTGCAATAACCTACCCTGGAATCAACTTACTCACTGTCTCTATAAATAGAAATTTTCCTACTAGAAATATCGCTAAAATGACATTACTCAAAAAAATTGAAATTGGAGTTAGTCATTTTCTCAACTGAAAAACTTAGATATTGAATTTATGTGGTTTATAAAAACATATGGAGAAACTATATTTTGATTGTCAACCGTCGATACAAGTAATAGACTTTTCGTAATTTTAATGGTCTTAATGATTTGTTATCTATAAGCTTTAAGCTTTATGTCCATTTAAAATGCACTTCAAAAATTTTATAATGGCCAAAACATCGGCTATATAATAATTTCTATTTAAAGTAGAGCGGTAAGTGAAAGTTGTGTGTTGAACCCACATTTTGTTGTATATCATGGAGTTTTGACATTGTCCAGATTCTCCACTCAAGTATTGAGTGTATGTGGCTAAAGCACGTTCGTTTAATCTCCACTGGCTTTAACCCTAGTGTCGTGGTTGAGAGAGTAGCGCAGGAATCTCCTGGAGTCCTGCTTTTCCTCCTATATTTGGAGGGATAGCCCGTCTTGGAGTTCCCTTTCCTTACTTCGTTAACTAATGAATTAATTTAATTATTCTGTAACACAAATAAAAAAGTGCTCCTTTATATTTCCATTTTCCTTATTCTTATTAAGTTTATTGTTCCAGAATAATGATTTATTCATTCATTCGTACAGAAGTCTTTCCAGAAACCACATCCTCATTGATGGGGTTTTATCTATTCTTACGAGCCTTGTTTCCATAACCTCTCGCCACAAACGAGTCCGTATGTATGAGGAAGGCCGAGTCCAAAAGCTGGTTAGCTTGAAGCGGAAGATTGGAAGGGGGAAAAGGCGGATTTCTCAAGGCTTAAAATGAAAATGCCTCAGACATTGAATTCTTAAACAAAGAGCTGTCTCTCGGAAAATCTCTCTGTCTCAGGGAAAATCTGCAATCAACTTGCTACAGGTAAATATGCTAATTCCACCCGTAGATTAGAAGACTCAGCTGAGGCTATTGGAAATATTTAAATTCTATTAAGAATTCTCATGGCGTTTGATTTCGAAGCTATATAAAATTATTATAATGCAGGGAATATAATCAGCAGCTGAAGGTATTATCATGAGTAATCTTCTTCATTACTTCTCACATACATTAGTTTTACACATATTCGTTTAGCGTTTTATGTATAGTTTACAGTTGGATCTCCTTTAAGAACTACTTTCAAATAAAAACTACTTTTAAATATAACTATTAAAAATGAACGAAATATACTGTTATATATTCTAGCGTGTGGTATGGAATAAAAAATTTCTTTATTATTCTCTTGGACAAAATAAAATGAAAACCCAAGTTTGGGATCAGAATTTTCAAAATTAAAATACAAATCTTTTCACGGTGAGTTTCCTCAATGATGGAGATAATACCAGCAAATTTAATGGTGGGAAAGAAGGCGGGAAAAATGAATGAATATGAGACCTGTAAACAAAGCTAAAACGCATACACAAACAATACTTCAAATAAAATTACTCAATTAATTAAAGATGTTAAGATAAGTAAATAAAAAGATCACCTTCTAAATGTTTACAATTTATTGAATAATAAAAGAGGTATAAATTTATACAAAAGTTGAAATAATCAATGGTGAAAAATCAAAAGAAAACGTAAAACATAAATATAATATCCAGAGGAAATAAAACCAAATTAAACATTAGGAATAAAGTATAAATAAAGTCAGCTTCTAAAATTATAAATAAAACAAGAGAGAAAAAATAACTGTCCAAAAAGAATAAAACTAATTTATATTGGAAACAGAATTAAATGAATGTTTAAATGTCTTTGGTTAGGGTGAAAATAAAAAACGATCCAAGTTGGAGGCTATACTTCCAAAGACCTTGATGTTCAGCTGTCAAAGCAGTCGATGGTGGGGGAATGGATATGTATATCGATCTCGGTCGATGACTGGCGATGACACAGCTGGGCTCTTCAAAATAGCGCAGGTGAGATGAGATGAGACTGGAGCTGGTGAAATGGTGGGGGTAAATGTCCAATACGTGAACCCAACTTAAACGAAGGCTCGCTCCAGACTGACCGTAGACCGCCTCCCGGCAGTTTTATCGCAATATTATGGTTGTCTTAATACTTAAACTCAAAATTACTGCCGGGTTGGAGCTTATAAAAATGCGATTATAAATTTCTAATAAACCTAAATATATAAACAATACACATCTCTGGGACACTATCTTTCAGTTTTTTACCATAAACAAACATTTCATCATTAACATTTAAAAAGGGGTGAATGGTGAGAAGAAAAATAAAGATATGCGGCGTTAACACCTAAGTCTCTTTAGAAGAAAATTTAAAGTTTAGCCGTTTTCGAGAAAATGATAAAATTGATGATCTAAAGTGGCATTTTCACTTAGCCAATTTAGACAAAAAAAAAAAAAAAAAATGCTGTAACATCCTAGCCATAAAAGACGAAATTTTAGTTTCGTTTTTGAGCTATATTGTTCATTTACAATCAGACCATTTTGCGATACTTCGTTATTTGGACTTAGAGGACCTCAAAATGTTTATTTCCGTTGAAAACTCATATTCGGAAATTTTCATGACCGCAATATATTTCAGATGCAAGGTTTGTCAAATATATTTTCCTTCATATATTTCCAATAATAAGTCCAAACCTATGCAAATCATATTACTAATAAGAGAGGAATTTTATTTTTAGTTGATTTTTATTCAATGTAAATTAATCATTTAGGAGAAATTAAATATAACATAGTTAGGTCTATTAGGATTACAGAAGATAATCAGTTTAAATTGAATACATAACTATAACACTTTAAGAAATTAACAGCACTGCATATAACAAAACGACAATAAATTCTGAAACCGTGGCAAACCACACCTACCGAATCTCTCCGATTTTAAATGCCTAATGGCTATGGAAGGTGAATAGATAAAAGGTAGTGGACAAACCGGCTGATGTGTGGTCGAGATATACCAACGGTTCCAAACCGCAACCAAATCCGTTCATCGATTGCCTGACTGTCAGGGCTGACTGGAGGAAGCACCTGTGAACAGTTTGCGGTGGCGGTCAATGAGTTAGGTTCCCTGGTCGTTATGTCCCAACGAATGGCTGAATAACTTTATATCCCAGTGAGGCCATTAGTCCTTTAGGGTATACCATATAATTATCTTTTGGACCGGTTATGGAGAACACAAAGTACTAATATTTGATATTTTTCCTTATTTCTTCAATAGGCCTAGTCAATAAGATTTAAGTTGAAATAATATTTCTTTTTTTTTTATATTTAAAACAAACGCTTTGTCATTTTCAGAAAATATTTCAATTTCTTATCACTCTTAACAAAAAATTGTAACAATGAACTTACCAAATATTACCAAATAACAGACCTGGTTGCATAGACTATGTCGTCTCATCATTGTTATTATCCTGATTTCCTCGAATTTGTGGATTCGAAATAAAAGATGGAGGAGGAGGGAAGAAAGAAAAATCCAGCCACATACAATTTCACATTTTTCCGCAACAATTCAAAAATATTCTAATCATTCTGGCCATGTCTAGCAGAAGTTCGTGTTGATTCTTTTCTTTTTTATTTTCCTACCTAAAACGTTTAGCCTGTCTTTTTGAAAGGTGATGAAATATAAAAATCGTTCATTTCGGACAACTATTAACGAAGTTACAGCTATTCAATTTCCAATGTAAGATTAAGGGTTTATATCCTGATGTCTTCTTCAACTCCTTGTCCTAGTCTGTCGGCGGTCGTCCTCTCTTCCTCAAGTGATCTCTTGGATACCAATCCATAAACTGCCTGGTCCATGCTATATCATTCCTCCTCATTGCATGCCGGTCCAGGCCCACTTCGTGATGTACACTTTTTCCACAATATCTGAAAGATCAGTCTTAGCTCTGATCCATTTATTTGCTTTTCTATCCCATTATCTTATTCCGAGAAGATATAGCTCCATTCCTCTGACGGTTATCCACAATTTGGGACAAGGAGAAGGAGAATACCTGCGGGGGAGCAGCCTGGGAGAGAGTACCATTCGAGAGGAAAGAGTGTAAACGGATAGGACAGGTTCATTACTTAGTGTAGTTGCAAGAGAGATAGGAAAACAAATATAAGAATGTCAAGTATAAATCAAAATGTAAAGATTTTGTATCTATTTTCTATTTATATCTATTTTTTATCCATTTTTTCGCATTGTATGTACAAACCAAGGTTATTATTATTATAATTATATTATTATTAGTATTCTGGTGTCAGAATGGGATGAATGAGAGAAAAAAATAAGTAAAAGTAAGAACATATGTTGCCCGCATCAAACAAGTTTCACTATTTTCTCTACTTTTAACAGAAATTATTGTTTGAAAAAATTAGGCTATGGCTAAAAGTTTTTGATCAGCATTATAAGAGGATATTGAAATTTTTACACTGAACTACCTTAATCCGTTTTACATTGCTTTGGTTTATCAAATAAATCGTACTCAAATCTTTTCTTTGATCAATATTCAGGAAAATAAATCTGATTCAATTTTTTTTTTGTTTCTTGATGGACATATGTAAAGATTTAATTTTTTTTCTGAAATAGGTAGGAAAGTCATGTGAGTGGACATACCAGATTTTTTTTTCTCGTGTTTGCGGAGTGAGTTATCCAAGATAAAAGAGACAAGTCGAACCACCTCTCACTCTTCCCTCCCCTCTCTCTCTTTCTCTCAATATTATTTACTTACCTTAAAGCTGATTTTATAAACTAGGTAGGACGATTTGGGGTATGTGTGCACTAGATTTTTCTAACATTCTACTTTAAATTAGTCGGGTAGTAATGCGTTATCGTTATTTTTGAAGGTGGACTTTTCTACATTTTTTAAATAATTATTTTCGTGTTTCTAAATTTATATTTAAGTCTTGTTAATTTTAGTGAGATTGATAATTCAGTAATATCTACAACACACTTGCCCTCGATTGAAAGAGTTAGTGAGTATTAGATATAAAAAACATTAATTATTTAATAATTAGTGGTTGTAGATAAGTGCAAAAGTTTGTTCTGTTCTCTTATTTTACTGATACAATCTGACATTAGAAAAAAACTTTAAACTTATCTAAGATTTCTAGTTATCTTTACATCTTTAAATCTTTAGTAAATCGTTAAAATTGTTAACGGAACATTAAATTAATTAAACAAACGTATTAAAAAAAAACAACAAGACCTTTTAATGCACTAGTTCACAGTTGGTGAAGCATGACAGTATTCGAGGCAAGTACACTCGCACAAGTCCCAAAACAAAGTTCTTCGCTTACCTCTAAAACTAGGTAACTACCAAGGGGAAACGTAAATCACAAAGTATTATGAAGTATACCTTTTAAGTACAACTTATCTACCGATTTTTTTTTAATCGTATGTATCTAATAAATACCAATATTGTTCAACTATTGACTGAAATAGAGTGGAAATTCTCGTTGCGGTCACTTCCATATAGCTGACAGTTCTATAATTCTCAACTGATTTTAATAATGTTACAGAATAAATGACTTCTGCACAACGGGCATTCTCCGTACTGGACATGCTTAAAACGAGGATTTTGATTGAAAAGTTTCTCCGAAACCGACTGTGCAGGAAGAACATATTCTGAGAACATCATTGTATATTATAGTAGCTTGATTCAATTTTCTCGGAAAATCCTTTTCAAATATAGAATAATCTTAGCCTTATTGTTAGTTCTACAGATTTATATTGTAACTTGTCAACAGGCTTCCGGTGAAATTTCAAATAAAACATTTACGTTATTAATCGTGTTTTTTCACAAATAATATTTACAATTTAGCCGCACGATTGAAAATTGATGTTTGACTGATCAAAGAACAAAAAGAATAGTGTGGACAATGGGCCCAATATGTTCATTCAAATAAAATAATTTCCTAAAACATCAGGTTTTACATAGTCGAAGTAAAATATAAATGATTTTGCCTCAATTATATTTTTTTTATATACACATATACAAGTCCATGTTTTGTTAGTACAGATATATCTTAATTGTAAATTTAAAAATATTTTTTCAGTTAATAAGCGATATCATTTTTCCAATATGTGACTTACAAAATAAAATTTTAACATGATAATTTTAATTTATCATTTTTTATTTTATTTATTTCTCTAAAACTAGCATCGCACTAAAATAGATAAATCTCGATTTCCCGTATGGACCGACATTTGACAGAAGAATGAGATGTCAGTCCATATCAACGAAAATAGAAAAACGTTAAACCACAGACACTTCTCTCAAGACGCTCAAAATTAAACTTAAAACCATTACATTTATCTACTCTATCCAAAATGGACCGATACTTCACAGATATACATACAGCAAATTGACTTACATCCGAATACTAAACAATTTTCATTCAAAGACTTTCGGGACTATAAGCTCCATGGTACGTCACAAATATTTACGGACACACTACAGAATATTTCACTATAACTTACAGGAACATACTAACACACTCATATTCACATAATACATGGCTACAATTAACAAGGCCCAAAACGCGCTTAGCTTTCTCAAAAGAAGTTGGATGAGGGATCTTCTCGCTTAAAAATTACACTAAAATCAAAAGAGGAAGGAATGCCGCGGGGAATTCCTCTCTCTCATGCCGATCAGGCAGTGTTAGTGAGGCCTGCGTAGGATATTGATGTTTTGTAAGAATTGCTGTGCCGTCTACACAAGTACCAGTCAATGTCTCATCGTTAATAGGCATATCGTATGTGTACACAATGTAAATTAGAGGGACTAGTATTGAACATCGATTAAAAAAAAAGTAATGTACACACATCGTTGCCATGTTTTTGGGGTGTGAAATTACACGGCATGCCACTGGATAATTATTGATGATAAATACCCAGAAATGTTTATTAAAAATTCCATCTGAATCATGTAATGTAATTACTTTAATACCACACATAATGATTTAAGTACAAAATTAATTAACGATTAGTCATTAGAATGCACAATAGTGTGTGCCCTCAAGCTGGATGCCATAATAATAGCTATGTTTTGGGATGTGAAATTACCCATAAAATTTTTAATAAAAATTAATAATAAAAAATTAGTTAAAGAAATTCGGGTCTTTAATATAATGATTGCTCCAGGGTTGATGAATTGAATTTCTTTCCTCAAAGGCTGGTTTGTGTTTATCATACTATGTAATTACCAACATTACCTGTGATCATCATGATATAAATGGATGGCAGAATTAAAATAACTTTTACTAAACAAATGTATTTATACAAATACTATTTATACAAATTATATTTACAAGAAACTAAATGCATGGTTCAATGAATTTAATCAATGACTGTGAAGGTATGATTTCAAATGGACTTTTTTCCATGGAGTTGCGCTCTCATGAAATATTCTAACATTGGTAAACCTATTATTGGGAATAAAACTTAGCTATGGTTTAAGATGTGGTGTAGATAGTAGGTTTTTTCATTGCATCTGCTGATTATCTCCTCTTGTCCAGTCAAGCCCAGGTCCAAAAACTGTCAGAACGCCCATCTCTCCGGTCTGTCTTCCAAACTGCATCTTCAGTTCTCAAGGCCAGAAAAAGACATAAGACCTCGAGCTTTTCCATCCACGAGATTTTATACAAATATTCAGGGTGGTGCAAGGATGGTTTTGATTGGTTCACAACTTCGTGTGTACATTTATTTTCACTGGCCACACCCTAAAGGGAACCCGTTACTAGTTACCAGTTACTCTAAGGAATGACCTTCCTCATACTCCTCGATCCTTATGTACCTGCTCTCCACCTTGACGCTATTTTTGATGTCAGCAGATGTGTTTGGTTTCAGTTTATTTTAACTTTGTTTTCGGTACCTCATGATAATTTCAAAAGATTATTTGCTACGTTCAATACATATCATCGTACTTCATCATTCGTAAACAACTTAAATTCCAGTGTAAACGCATATCTGATAAAGATAAATTTTAAAGCCGACTAAGTCCATTTTTAAAACTATTACTGAGAGTACGAAAAACCTGTGTTTGTATACGGCTTCACTGAACGAAACAGTGCATTTAAATGTTTGAAAAAAAAATTATGAAATTTAAGTTAAAATAAATAAAAAAAAAATAGATTGGACCGTTTTCAAAACTAATCGCTTTATCTGTTAAAATAAATTCCATACATGTGGCCGAGGATATGTGTCTCAGTGAGTTAGGGTGGGGGACTTGATATATATTGAAGTGCTGTTGGCTATCTCCCTCTCTCTCACTTGTGTAGAGCCTGCTGACCTGGCATTATTTATTAGTCTCGGCTCTCTAAATAAATATTTATAACGTTTAACGTCCATCTGTCCTCTGTTCTAAATTTACTGTGCTTCCTTCGTATACGTATGTATAGACTGGCGCCTACCTATGGTGTGACTATTATTGTAATTTAATGAAATAAATATTTCTTACATTTCCCTTCCCTCCTCTGAAATGGGATTCACAACTTGTATGTGGTGAGAAAGTATCTGATAAAACTGAGTTTTAAGATAGGAACTGGCAAAGGCCTTAGACACACCAAATTTCTTTGATGTCAAATAACTCCTTCTGGCATTGCATTACCAGTTATGCAAATAACACACTTAAAGTAAACAAAAAAATAATTATACAAATAAAAGCATAAAATGCTTCTTTAACTGATCTAATCGTGAACAAAATTCAAATTTATAATAATCGTAAGAAAAACAATGTAAAATAAAAACATTTTTACACCAAGAGATGATTACAAAAAAAATGTTTATGACGACAGAGTACAATTTTATTCATAGAATTAACTGACGGCACAATCAGATCCAGGAATTAATTTTTGGGGGGGGGCTCAGACCAAACACTTTTTTTTTCTATACATATAACGATAATTACTTTGGAAGAAAAAGAAAGAAACTAACTATTTATAAGAAATAGTGTTTAAGTGATTCTTGAAATCCTATTGAATGTAATTAACGAACTATAATACTTTTTAGAGATATTTTTTTTCGTAATACGTGGATATATTTTACCATTTTTTGATGGGAGGGGCTTCATCCCGAAAGACCTCCCTCCTTCCATCGCAGAACCATCCGTGGCTAACGGCAGATAATTCTCAACTTCTTTGGTGTGCTGAACATGAGATGCGGCACTTGTGGATGAGAAATGATTTCTCTGAGGAATGTTGCAGTCAAAACGTTGACGAAGAGATGAACAGGTAAACCGAGTTAATTATGGGTACGTACGAGCATTCATTGGACTACTTGCTTAGATAAGCAATCGAAATACCGTGCTTCGTATGGATTAAACTTGTGCTTGGGTTCGTAAAGCAGCAACAAATGTGAAGCTTCATTCTTCATTTTATGATACATGTAATTATTTAAAGTAAACGTAAATTTTTATGATACTAATCATATAACATAAGAAATGTTAAAACAAAATCGTTTAGATTAAAAAAATAAAAATGTTTATAATGTTGGTTTAACATTTGGGTCTGCAAGAATTTGAGATTCATTAACTAAGAGTTGACTGGCTGAAATGTCAATTAGTGTAATAAGAATATTTTGTCGTGATTAAAGTTAAAACATCTTAAAAGTTGTTTTTTGGTTATTTCTTTCAAAAGCACTTCTTTCATTAAACTAAGAACGATCGACGGTTTAGCTTTTCATTACAGTAATGTGTTTTCTTATTTTCACTCCAACGGTTTAAGATTAACACGAAAATGTAAAACGGGGTGAAAGAGGAAAAACAACCGCAGATCAGTAAGGGCGACTGGTACCAGAACATCCTCCAACTGAAATAGAATAATCCTTGACAAATCTTTCCCTTTACTTCCAGGAATAGTGAAGAAAGGATTCCTTTCTGGCCGGGCTCCAGCTCTGGAAGACAGTCCAGCGTACCTTTACCCAAATCAGCGGCCCGGAATGATCCCTTGGCCAATATATCTTCAGCGGTCCTTGGGAAGGGTCTGCCTTCCTTATTTGGCGTCTTCAAGGATATTGACCCTCGCTGCATATACATTAACAATTTACAAAAATTATAATGTTTACTGAGTTTATTGTCTTTGGATGAGGACATATCTATGTGCAGAATATATCGTTGGCACCATATTAAAGTAATGCATGTTTACCTTTCCAACGTTGCACATCCGTCACTTTAACATTGTACTGACGATATCTGACTCGAGTGGATATATAACAGAAAATCCTCAATGATTTATTCCTTTGACCTTATACATTATGATTCATTCGGAACGGGCCAAACTCCAGCGGTTAGTCGCTCACAGTAAAATAATAAAAAAGAAAACTCTTAGGTTCTTATCAGATTTTCATTTGTTTACATTTTATTAGATACCTAAAAATAATAATATTTCATGGATGTTTTAGAATTTCGGTTATCGAAGTAAACATTTTCGCTTTCGTCTTCGAAGGACAACAGTTTTTCGTTTCATATCTTCATTTAATGACGCCTGCAGAATTTTAAATACTTTGAATTAGTGCATTCCGGGTGTATATGATTATTTTTTACACTTCATGTTTGAATCAGGTCTATAAACAATCCAGTACTGTGAGGTATGGATATCTTGGAGGACAACAAATTGGACCATCTTGACCAATCCAACGATCTGAAAATTTACATCCGAATGTTGTCTCACCAGATTAGCGAAGTGCGATGTAAGTGCATATGCATTCTGATATTTAGAGAAATATCTTCGTATAGTCCTAATAATTCAAATCATGATAAATCAAAGTATTGGTCTCCTGTTCGCCGATTCTCTAATGTGAACTGCAAGACATCTGTCACGAATAAAGGAAGTTAAATGCGCTGTCAGTTCAAGGTAACATGTCAGAATACTTTGAACGCCAGAAAGAAATGCGCCAAGGGGATCGCTTGCCATATTTTCTATCTAGAATGTGCAATTAGGATTTAAGTTCTTATAAATTTACATCGGTGGAACGGTTTTTGATCGCTCCGTCGAACTGGTAGGGTTTGCCGACGACATTGCATTGATTAGTTGCTAACAGACTTATTATTTTTATTTTAGTGTTCTCTCTCCTTGAAGATCGCATTAATAAAACATGTCAAAAGGTATTTGTGAATGTTTTTAATAAATATTTTTTCTCTTCCCATTCTCGAATTTCGGCTACGAGTTACTGATGGGAAGGTGGTGGCACTTCTTAGGGATGATTGCTGGTTGAAGTTGCAGGAGGCTCTGGCTCTGTATGAGTTGTAGTGTTAGGAAAAAGTTTCTCTCTTTTAAACTCTTATAAGCAGCTCTTAGCCAAATATATATATATATATATATATATATATATATATATATATATATATATATATATATATATATATATATATTGTTTGCTTATTATGAAAATGAAAAAAATTGACTTCACTGATGCCGAAATGTGACAGACATTGTTTTTTGATCATATTTCGCAAAGTTGTCTTCAATTTATGAAGATACAACTTGATCTCTTGAATAAACAAATCCAACAGATCACGTTTAATTAAACTCTTCAGCCATTCTGCTCCTAACACACATAGTATGTAAGTCAAATTGGAAGGGATTACTAAGGTAAATCCTGGTTCCGACAGGTTTTACTTCATTGGTAATACAATCGAAAGCTGTGTTCTTATTTGATGGGCGTTTGAAGGTACCAATATTAACTTCCATAGGGCTAGCAGGAATATTTTCCTAATTATCAAAGGATTTTCACAATCTCATTATTTTTTATATATTATCCAATTTCACGTTTAAACATTTTTCGGTTGAATAACTAATTTATAATTTTCACTTTCGCAAATTGAGTACTAATTGATTATGAATTTTAATTTTATTCGTCACTGAAAATTATGTTATAACAATATGAATGCAAAAATATAGATTTTTCTTGATGCATAAATAAAAAGAAAAGTCATGGGGGCAGATCTACTTCACGAGAGAGGCGCCTCGGTTACGTCATACCTTGTCAGCGCCACCATATACCATTGGGTATTTTATACCTTATATTTTAGAATAGTGTTTCTAGTTTCAAAATTTAGATTCAAGAAATACCTTTCCGCTTCTTCTCTCATCCTATATTTTCTAAATACTTACTTTGCCGTTACTACTGTCCAAGGTGAACTTCTATTACATGCGTACTATTCTATTACATGCGTTCCAATTCAAAGTTGCATAAATTATCTTTTTCTTTTCCCGAACACGTTCTCTCCTATTATTTTCTTTATCATTCTTTATCTTTCTATCATTCTCTATTTCTTTATCATTCTTTATATTCCATTCTCTGCACGTGACCAAGCCAGCTAATTCTTTGTTATTTTATAAAGTGTAACATTTTTTCATGCCTTATCAATTCTTCCAGCTCCTGGTTATTTCTAATGAGCCAAACAGCCTAGACACAAACTGGACCAAAACGACGCCTTAGGATCTTCCTTTAAAACACACTTAGTATGTGTTTGTCTGCTACTTTCAGCTTCCAAGTTTCTGCGCCATAGCAAACAACAGGCCTGTTTTGTAAAGCTTTATCTTGGGAGCTCTAGAGAGAAGTGGCAATTTGAAGAGGGTTCCAAGACCATAATATACTCTATTTCCTACCATGATCCGTTTACTGATCTCTTCACTCGCCTTGATTTCGCAATTGATATTTACTCCGAGGTAAGTAAAATGTTGAACTACTTCAAACGAAAAATCATTAAAGTGGAAATATACCAACATTCTTGCCCCGGATGCAGACACTGCCGTGTACTTAGTCTTTGAATCGTTTGTTTCCATGCCAACATTTTTGAATTCGGGCACCAGTTCAGTGAAGACTTGTCTAATCGCTCGTTCGCTTCTTCCAAGATCCACAAGATCTTCTTCATATATGAGTATCTGTGAGGTACGATTTGATATTTTACTAATAGAAACATTTAATTTTAAATGTATTTTAATATGTTATAAATATATATATTCAGTGAATTTGTATTAAAACAGATTTGACAAAGGAACGCCTTTTTTTTTTTTTTTTTTTTTATTTGTTTTCCACCCTCCCATGCCATCAGGGCAACACGGGTGTATGCAGTAGTGTGATGTTAAGCATTAATGCATAATAACACACTACTGCCATAATATCAGTTTACAAAATTCTAAGCTGTGCACACAGCTAGCTCTTCTACTTTTTCCTGGCTCCTTTAGGCCTGGCTTCCCGAATCCGGAGGTCTTCCTGGGACTGGTCCTCTTCTCCTTCTGCGTGCACCTAGGTTGAAGTGAGCTGGGCCCACCGCCGTCTTCCAGCCATTTATAAACTCTTTGAACCGCGGGAAGTTTTCTTCACTCACCAACTGAGGAAACTCCTCCTCAGTGAGGACGTAAATCCCCGTGGTTCTCATTAACCTCGCTCTTAATTCGTCGAAAGCAGTGCAGGCCGTGACCACATGCTCAACAGTCTCCGGAACACCACAATCGGGGCAGTGGGGATCTATATCCTGTCCGTAGCCATGGAGTTTAGCTCTGAAACCCCCATGCCCCGTGAGAAATTGTGAAACCCAATAGTCCGGGAGGACCCATTTCGCCTGTAACCGAGATTCAACGGTGGGAAAGTATTTTCTTAAGGTGCTGCCTTTCGGAGTCGTCACCCACCGTCTGCTCCAATCTTCAATTGTTTCCTCCCGGATAATCTTTTTCCATTTATTTGGGTTTTCAATAATCCTCATCCGTAGGTTCTCCGATAGACTAGTTGAGCCCTCCTTCTTGTAGTCATACCTGGTCACTTCTTCTCGCCTGAGGAGGTCGAGAGGCACCACCCCCGCTAAGACCTGCACTGCTTCATGCGATGTAGACCTATATGCTCTGGTGACCCGAAGCAGAGCAGTTCTCTGAGTCGATGCTAGCCTATTTCTTTGTCTGAGTGTGAGGTTTCGGAACCAGAAGGGAGACGCATACCTAAGGATAACCTCCACAACACCCTTATAAATAGTGATAGTGGCTGGATACCTAAGGCCCCAAAATGCGCCCCCCACACGACTTAGACCGTTCATTGCTAGGGCCACCCTACCTGCCAGATATTCCAAATGAGGCGTCATATTGAGGCCTACACCTAACCTAACCCCTAGGTAGGTTACCACCTCACTTGGACGTATCCTCTGACCTTCTATGTACATCGTTATAGGGTGTGCCCTATCAGTCTTTCCCTTAAGGAGGATGGCTTGAGTCTTAGCAGCAGCCATCCTCATCTTCTTCCCCTCACACCATCTAGCGACTAGGCTGGCGCATCGCTCTGCTTCTCTCTTGACTCCAGCTCTGCTGTTGGAGGCCACCACAGCAGCTAGGTCGTCAACGTAAGCAGTGGCAGGAAACCGCTCCTCCTCTAACACTCCCAGTAACTCATCAAAGACGAGCTTCCATAGAGCAGGACCAAGCACCGATCCCTGAGGGCAACCTCTCTCTATGGAAGCTTCTACCTCGTAGTAATTGCCTCTAATCTTGACACTTCTATCCTGGAGATAACTTCTTACTAATGTGTATAAGTTACTAGGAGCATCATACCTCTGCAGCTGCTGGAGCACGCTAGGCCACCATACGCTGTCAAAGGCGGAGGATATATCGAAAAGAAGCAACATGACATACCGCTCCGCCCTCTCCTCAACATCTCTGCGCACTCTCAGCAGGGCATCAGCGGTTCCTCTGCCTCTGGTTGATCCATATTGCCGTGGATGACTTGCTCTAGCGAAAACAGGCCGTAAACTAGTCATCATGAGGTTCTCCAGGACCTTGCTAATCACAGGGAGGAGACATATAGGTCTATATGAATTAGGGAGTTGTTTGTCCCTATCTCCTCCCTTGTAGAGTAGTCTCAAATCAGCGATCTTCCATCTTCTTGGAAAGTATCCCATATCCAGACATTCATTGAAAATACTCAACAGCCGGTCTTCAATATACGTGATGCTGTTCCTCAAGATCGCTGCATCTATTGCATCAAGTCCTGGAGCACGATTAGTCTTCTGCTTATCCACGGCAATACGAAGATCGTGAATGTCCCATGGTGGGCACAAATCTGAACCAGGTGGATATACCGTGGTGCGTCTCACAAAATCATCATTTTCGCTGTCCTGGGTTGGGTCATCTCTGGGATATATTGCTTCAATGAAAACATTGGCAGTTTCTTCAAGGGTGGTTGCCTCAGTATTATGATACCGCAAGGCTGCAATAGTCTGCATCGGGGACAACTTACCCAATGCTACCCTATACGGAATACCCCAGGGATTCTTCAAAGACTCTTCAATGATGAAATCATCCCAAGACTTCCGCTTTTGTGAGCGAACCTCGTTTCGGTATATCCTGGCTTTTGACGTGTACTCATTGCGAAGTACAGTGCGCCTCTCTTCGCATCTGCACCTCTGATATGACCGCCGAGCCTTGTAGAGGTCTCGTTTTAGTTAAGGCTGGCGTCCACCATGGGACAGGTCGAACCCTCGCCTTCCGGTGCTTGAGGGAGTGTTCGGCAGCATCACGAATGTTGTTGGTAATCCTGGACACCTTGTAGTCCAGATTGTCAACTACATCCATCTCTGCCGCTTCCCACTCCTCGTCTGCAATCACTCCTTCCAGGTAGGACCTGAAGACACTCCAGTCATTTATTTTAGTGACGAAACCCTTATCAGTACCGTGGGAACATCCTGGCTCATTTACCAGGCCAATTGCTATCGCAACGTGATCGGAACTCGTATCAGATCTGAGAGTCCAATCAGCAATATACCTCGTAAGCGCAGGCGTGGCGATCGTGACGTCAATCCAACTCTGCCCCATGCCTCCAGATAAGGTAGGGGTGGCAGAGGGTTCGTTCATCATGACAAGGTGATTTCTGCCTATGAAATTTCCCATTTTAGCGCCTCGCCTGTCAGTAATATTGGACCCCCAGACAGTGTTCCAGGAGTTGGTATCTGAGCACATGATCACATTCCTCATCTCTCTAATGACCGCCTCCATAGCGGATATGCTTTCTTCTACATCACTATTCACAGGTAGGTATGCCGATACCAATGTGAAAGAAATGTTGCCCCACTTAACATAGCAAGATGCATAATCCGCCATGGTGTGTTGCCTCAGATCCATCACGTCAAGGTTAGGATTATTAATCACTATTGCAGCCCTGGGCCTCCTCTCTCCACTGCTCAGGGCTATAACTCTTGACGTGAGGCCAAACCCCGTAACCCTGTTCCCATGGCAGCTAGGTTCCTGGACCGCCATGATATCGTAGCGTTGTGCCATGGCGCGAAGCTCGTCAGCCACAATATGCCGGCGGCCCATATTCAACTGCAGGATTTTGAGTCTAATCATAGTGAGTTCTCCTCACTAATTCTTGAGATCTCTTGATGTGCACTGGGCATTCTCTACTTCCTGCCTGGTGTTTAGCCTTACTTTTTTTAACACCTTCCCTCACGCAGTTAACGCATGTAGGTGCGGTCTTATTTCCTTTTGCGGGACAGTTTTTAGCAATATGCCCACTCGCCGCACACCACTTGCATACTATGCCATTTGCCTCACAAGTAGCTTTTGTATGTCCATATCCCTGACACCTTAGACAGGGAGGAGCATCGGGGTAATCTAAGATTGTCAGTGACCACCAACCTCCTGTAATTATTTCCTCCTTGAGTAGATTATATCTTACCATTGGATGTACTTCTAACACCCAATTATTGGTAATTTTATTTCTAGCCATTGATGAGAACAATGGCTTTATATTACCTAATTGGTTCTCAGAAATAACGGCCGATTTTGCAGCCAACCTTTCCCATAGCACCCTTTCTAGATTTTCCGCACTCCATGAAAGGGGAACTCCTTTTACCTCCACTTTTGGTTTTCTTTTTAAGGCTAGTTTTGCCTCCATCCCAACTTCTTTTAATTTTTGCCATTCAATTATTTTTTTCGCATGGGCACCCTCATCTACACAAACTAAAACTGAGCCAGCTTTGGTCGCCCGTACAACTCTCGCCTTGACTCCTAGTTCAGTTGGAGAAGGCAGATTGTTGATGATGTCAGCTGCACTTTTACCTTGAGAAGCGATGGTAACATAAGTTGGTCTTGTAGTATCCATCGGTTTTAATGGAAGCCCTTTAACAATATCGGCCATCGTAGTCTGATGTATAGACCTTTTCTTGGTCAAACTTTCCTCTGCTATTGGTTTAGAGGCCTCGATCTCTTTGGCCACTTGTGGAAGAGCCTTTTTCCTTCTTTGCTTTTTCTTTACTTCCTGGAAACATTCCTTCTCCGTGGTCTCAATAATAGCGTGGGCATCGGCTAATAGCGGTTGTTCTTTAACGCATGGAAACTCCCGAGATGTCTGAGGTTCTGACAGTGGTCTTTGTATGGTTTTACTTTCCGACTTGAGTCCCTCGATAACCATAGGTACTGCTTTTTCCACTAATGCATTTACTATGATATCATACATTTCAGAGGAAGCTAATGTGTCCTTTACCACACGTTGTACTAAAAACGTTTTTTCATAGTTCTTATCATATATTGTCTCCATTATATCTATTAACTGCTGAATTTTCCCATTAACGTGCTTTTGTACCTTCGCACTCACGTTCCTGTCTGTTGCGTTCATGTAGACCCTGATGTTTTCTTTGATTCTACGTGCATCTTGCAGAAGACTATCGTCTACGCGTTCTTTATCTGTTTCTTCTCGGGCGTCTGGAGATCCTTTCCTTTGCCTCTTTGCTGAAGGCCTTGGGCACTTTATAGCCTGTTCTTCCACCATTTCCTGCTCCATTGCTGATGCAATTTCATCAGCCATCTTACGCAATCCAAAATTAACAACTTTATACGTTGAAATAATGGGTGAACAACAGTAGAAGGAAATATTCAACACTCAAAATCTAACCTACGTTCGGGAAACTTATAAATTTCCTATCTTCAAAAGTAAGACTTTAATATGAACTTACCTTAGTGCTTCACCAACGTAATAGTCTCTAAACGTCCTTTTGGTTAGATTAAACCTTCGTGAAAACCACAAAGTTAACCTTAACCTCCACTGTTCACTCAAAAAGTTTATAAAATTAACTAAATAAACATAAACTAAAACTAAATCATGTTCAAAAAACTATAAAACACTAAAATAACACAAACAGTAGGAAACGATACAACAAAACTAACAAAACAAACTTGAAAAATACAAAACACTGAGAAGCACAATAACACTTTATCATAGGTAGATAACCTTCTTAAAGGAACGCCTTTAAGCCTTGCCATATCTCCTTGCAATGTTTTTCAAGTATCAACCATTGTAATCGACCAAAAAAATTCTAAAACTTGATCATCTCCCTCAAAATTTGAGTTTCTACGTCAGAACACGTAGAATTCGAAAATTAAATAAAACATTTTTTGTTCATTCGCCGTCCTACGTCCGCACATTTTCTTCGATACTGCTTGATCGATTTTTTTCAAATTTCGATCTAAAGTCAGAGGTCACCCGATGATGATCATCCTACATCTACATTACCATCCGCCTTTTCCTTTCAAGATGGCGGCCGAAAAACTGTGTTGCTATAGAATAGCGCATAAACGAATGTACCGATTTCTATAAAACTTGGCTTTAGTCTTCTTCTGGATGCTCTTTAAATTTTCCTATAGAATACACTTCAATGAAAAGAACCTGAAAAAAAATTACGTGGGGTGGTAAAAATTTTTGTAATTAGATGTTTCAAAGGTGTTTAAATTTCCTAAAAAACGAAGACAATTTCGTCGAAATCATAGCACTATTAGCACTATTTATATATCGCGATTTTAATTTTTTTTTTGGGTTTATTATTTTCAATAATGAACCATTCTAATCGACCAAAAGATTAAAAAAACTTAATCCCTCCTCAAAATTTAAGGTTTTACGTTTTAGTATACGTAGAATTCGAAAAACGAATACAAATTTTTTTGTCGGTCCGCCATCCACGTATTTTGTCTGAGACTACTGGAAAGATTTTTTAAAATTAGTTTCACATGAAATATATTATAGGTTAAAAAAAACTGAGATTTAAAACAAATATATATAAAAGTATTAATATTTCGATATTTCTTCCTAAAGTACAACGGTGCTATCAATATTAGGCGCTTTAAGATTTGTAGTTTACAAGGACGATTGGCCGTGTGCCAGCTGTGGTGATATGTGGAGCTGTTGAGAGAGTAACTCCTCAATGTTTATCTACTGTTTCACAAACACACAAACACGGTAAACAATATACGTACATATATATGTTTGTGTATATGTATGTGTGTATATAGATATAAAACAACCATTTAAAAGTTAATATTAATACATGGCATACCGTTTTATAAGTTTTAGTTTTATATCTTCACTTATTTCCTTGCCTGTATGTCAAATAAGAGAACTAGAAACTATAGAAATCACCGATTCGGAAAAATTAGTAGAGAGGTAATTAGTTGATGTTATGGTATATAGAATAATGACATATATAATGATAATTTTCTATTACATGGGATGGGGAATAGTTAAACGAGAAAAAGATTACATTTCATCTTTCCTTAATTAATATATTCTTTTGGAATTTCGTATTAATAAAATAATTAGAAGGTTGAATACAGTTTTACTAACCGTGTCATTCAATTTTTTTTTTTTTTTTACTACCATAGAAGAAGAAAAATCAAACAATAGTGATGCTATTATATCTTTGAATGAATTATTGTTTTCAAATAATTGGTTTCTCCTTTTCAATTACAGATAATCTTGCCAGATTTTTAAATATAGATTTAATATGTAAATAATCGTAAATAATTTTAATTAAAAACTCATGTATCTGCAGCTTTCCACGTAAAACAATAATGATGAATGAAAAAAAGTGAGAAATACTAGGATATAAATGAATTACTATTTTTATAGGGATCGCTTATACTTAAAATTAACTACTTAATATTTATTATAATATCTATTCAATATTTTATTGACAACTTGTCGAGCTACAGTAGGCAAAGGTAAAACTGTTGACAGGGTAATCGCCGATAAATATTATGTTAGACATTGCCGGATATCCATACATAGAATATATACAAAATATACATACATATATATATATATATATATATATAGGTCAAAGATGAAACTATAATTCATTTTTCGTCTCTTGTTAAATTTTCTAATTAATGAAATCAATGTCTCTCAGAATCTGGAATTCGGCGGCATTGTAGCTTTTTTCCAGCCAAGCTCATTTTGCTGTTGCCTGGAGGTTTTGACTGTTTTGAAGACCGTTTAATTTCATATTCATTATACTCACCGCTCTCTTCTTTGCTTCATCTAGTTTCATGGTAAGCCCGGCACTGCTCAGAGCAGGAAAACCCGGGCATTTGCCCAGAGGCGCGAGGAAGTGTCCTCCAGTTATTAGAAATTTAGAAATGAGGAAAAATTATTATGTTCTAGTAATAATTTAAGTTTAAGTATATTAAATTGATGCTGTAAGCTATGCCTAAAACGCTTTATACATTTTATATTAACATGAACAACTTTCATCGAGCATTTTATTACGTTTTATGGGTAACGACTAGTGTTGCCCAAATGCGAGACCGAGATGAGTCTTGGTCTTGCGAATTCAGTCTTGGTCTTGCGCAAGAGTCTCGCAAGAATCTTGCAGTTACATATTAGCTTATTACTATATTTTTTATTACTGTGATTTTTTAGATAGGAGAAAACTAACTAAGCCCGAATGAAAAATTATAGGAGTTAAATGCAAAAGTATATTTTATGCATATATTTTATGCAAGGTCATAACGATTATTTACATATACTAAGATTGTCAAGTATTAGTAACTATTTTGCCTTAATTTTTATTCAATTAATCGATTTTTTTTTTACCAGTCCTGGTCTTGGTCTTGGTTTTGCATAATGCAGGGTATGGGCAACACTAGTAACGATACATTCTCTATAACCTTCATTGTAACTTACTGTATTTTATATCACGATTTGCTGGTTTTAAGTTACAGATTTTTACAAAAAGCCATAGAGAAGAATTAAAAAATTGTATATTTCATTTTGTGAGAGCAGAATATGCTCCAGAACATGATTGATCAGAAAATCTCAAAACCTTACTTTCCAAAGAAATTGTCCTTACAGGCTTTTGCAGTGTAGTTGTCGATTTACATTAGTCCAAGAGACTCTAAGCCAGGCTTTTTTATTTGCATGTGAAAGGCAAAGTAAAATTGGGTTTTTTGTCTTAATCCGTTTTTTTTATCCTACCATTCTAATGAAATTTTGAAATAGTTTAAACTAACATCATATAAGTATGGTCCTTCTCTCTTTGCTACAACTTAAAACAATGTTTTTATTTGGACGTGTAGCTCAATTATGGATGTTAGTTACAAAGTTATTATAGTTTTATTTATGCGCTTAGCCTGACCAAACACTTAGCCTATTAATATCGGTCTGTGACTATAGATACCATCATAATTGACTTGAAATATCTTCATCAATATTATTGGTTTGCAAAATAAGTCGTTTTGGTTTTTCTGTTTATTTTTGTGTCACTATGATGCGCTTCTTATATAATGAATCCCTAAGGTGAATTATTTATTGTATTGGTAATATGTCAACAATCTGTTAACTCTTGTTAAAACTAGCTTAGTGTTGTGTTTGCTATTGCACGGTGTATATGGAATAAAATATCATTCATATCGGCATATTTTGTTGTACTATTTTAAAAAAGATAAGCGTGCGGCAGAAGCTCATAGAAAAATTTGCAGTGTTTATGAGAGATGAAGCCTTAACCGAACGCACCTGTCAAAATTGGATTGCATTCAGGAAATTTTGACATCAATGATGCTCCATGGTCTAGTCCCCCCCGTAAATTGAAACGTGAAATGTTAAGGCCATTGTTGATCAAAATTCCAACTAATTACGGCCAAAGATTTATCACAATTATGGCCCTAAATGTGTCGCACACAGGCGTAGAAAACCATTTTCACAAGCTCGGCTTAATTGTTTAAACCATTGTTTCCAGGCTTTATTATTGGGTCCTTCACATGATTTTCACACAAAAAATGTATAACTTCAATACTACTTTAGCTATCCATAAGAAATATTGCATGAATTTAGAGCCACATAAACTACACTAAACGACATTAAGAGGTCCTTCGTAAACCAACTGCAAATGAATATAAAAAATTAAAATCTATAAAGATTTTTGTTTATTAATTCCTAATAAAATTAAATTTTAAAAAAACATTAATACGGCTTTAAAGAGCAATAATTCAGCTTTCCATCGGATATAGTAACATCGAATTTGGAGAACATTTTGAAGAGTTATGAATGATCCGAAGGTTGTTGTGTTCCACCAAGACAAAGCCACGCCCCATGCCTCATTGGTCATTCACAATAAATTATCAACCTCCCTATTCGGTGCGGGGTTTGAATGGAAAGGAGTGCGAACTCGCTGACGAAATTAGAAAGGCCAAAGTGGATATACTTGGCATCACCGAAATGAAGAGGAAAGGAAAAGGCGAACTGAAGATCCAGAACTACACTCTTCTGTACTCAGGGGTCAATGAGAGAGAGAGAGAGCAGAATTTAAGATTTAATATATTTTTTCCTAAATTAGTTTATTAAATATCGATACCTCAAGTGATACTAACACCAACTCAATTTAAATACAAATTTTCATTATCAATTTCAATTTGGAGGCATTGCATAAGAAGATGACTGTATATAATTGAATAAAATTTCAAAATCAGTTGAAGTACTAAATTTCTTTCTAATTTTTTTTTTTAATTTGTATCCGATGTTGATTTGACAAAACGGTG